GAGTGAAAGACAGGGAGAGAGGTCCTGCATCCACTGGTTCACTCCCCAAATGACCACAATGGCTGGAGCTGGGCCAGGATGGAAACCAGGAGCCAGGAGCTTCTTCCAGGTCTCCTGCACGGGGCAGGGACCCAGGCACTCGGGTCATCCTCCACTGCCTTCCCAGGCCATCAGCAGAGAGCTGGATCAGAAGCAGAGCAGCTGGGATTTGAACCGGTGCCAGCACCAGCACCAGCAGCTTCCAATTTAAGAAGATGTAACTTCTTAAGGGGTTAAGGTAACTGGGCCCACCTGTAAGTGCCTGGAGTAGGAGGAGGGGGCAGGGCAAGAGTGAAGATGGATGCACAGCTCTGCAGTTTTCACCTGTTCAGTGTCACTCTGAAGCCTTGTTTGGATCCTAGGCATGTGCTGGGGTGTCCAGCTGGTCTTGGTGAGGCCTTCCTGGGTCGATGTACAATTTATCCTGAAGCCCGCTTTCCGGATTCTGTGATTCCAACCACTCTGCACAGCCAGTTCTAAAAAGTTTTTGGGGGAACAGGACAGGGTCCCCAAAGGCCAGGACAATGGATTCTTGAAGGCTGTCAATGTACAAATAAAATTACAAGATAACTTTCACTAGCACAGTGAATATGATAATGCATTCTCTAGAACATTTAGAAAGTGTCAGATAAAGCCCTTTTGCTCACAACCCCCAAACCAGACTTCTGTATTTTTTTCCTCAGTTGTCATCATTATTTTAAATCAACTTTGGGTATTCACATCCAGAATCTTCTCTGTATATTTACATACATATGCAACGTCGTAGAAAAGAATTTTATTGTAGCTTTGTTTTGAAGCTTTGGAGAGGCCCTTTAAAAAAGTTGTTTATTTTTGACATATTTCAAAATTACAGAAAAGTGGCAAGAATAGAACAAAAATCTTCTGTATACTCTGTAATCTCTGGTTTACTGTTTGTATTTCACCCACTTGGTTTGTTATTTTCTGTATTAAATATTTTCCTAGAAGGGTCTATAGGAGGGGACTTTCATGGGAAATGAAATAAAAATATTTATTTTGGTGTGAGTAACTTTTGAAATCCATGCAGGCATTTTGCACAGGAGGGGTCTTCAAAAAGTTCATGAAAAATGTGTATTGCAAAGAAGCTGTGCATGGATTTCAGGACATTTTGCACCCATATGGACTCATCTTTTAATTCCATCTTCCATGTCTTATTCCGACCCATCTCAGAGTAAGCTGGAGGTCAGGATTGCCATTTACCCACCTCGATATTTCAGTATCTGTTTCTCTGATCAAGAATATTCTCTTAAATATGCATAGCACAATTACCCAAATGAAGTAATGGGACATTGACCTAATGGTGTAATTTAATAGTTGAGACCCAGATTTCGTTAATTGAAGCACTAATGTCCTCATACCTTTTCCTTAAACAAAGAGGCGTTATGTTGTCCTCACCTGTCTTCCTCTCCTTTCAACATGTTGATGCAGACATAGTACAATGTTATCAGCGTGGGCATAGTACTACACAGCATGACTATGCCGTAGAGTATTTATTCCTGCCCCACTGATGGACAATCAGGCTGTTTCCTAGTTTGTCACTGCAAACATCCTCAAACTAAATGATAGTGAGTGTTGCTTTGAATGAGGATTTCTGATGTTGAAAATTCCTTGGGGCTGGCACTGTGGTGCAGCGGATTAACACCCTGGCCTGAAGCGCTGGCATTCCATATGGGCACCGGTTCAAGACCTGGCTGCTCCACTTCTGATCCAGCTCTCTGCTGTGGCCTGGGAAAGCAGTAGAAGATGGCCCAAGTCCTTGGGTCCCTGCACCCATGTGGGAGACCTGGAAGAAGCTCCTGGCTTCGGATCGGCACAGCTCCAGCCGTTGGGGCCAATTGGGGAGTGAACCATCGGATGGAAGACCTCTCTCTCTCTCTCTCTCTCTCTCTCTCTTTCTTTCTCTCTGCCCCTCCTCTCTCTGTGTAACTCTGACTTTCAAATAAATAAATAAATCTTAAAAAAAAGAAAATTACTTGATTATGTAAGGTGGGTTCAAGACATTAAATACCACAAGTACTCAGATTTTTCCACAGAAAATTTGTGTCTTCTTGGGGAAAAAAATAATTGGGAAAGTTCTTGGTAAAGAACAATATTTTGGAAGTATACATGAAGTGCACCCTTTTTGTGGATTCAGAACTGTTAGGTAACTTTCCCCAGAATGCAGAGGCCTTGCCTGGCCTGAAGATCCTATGATGGAGGGTCAGATCTAACCCCCCAGCCAGCTCCGTTTCCAAGATCCAAGGCAAACAATGCTGTCTCCAGCAGGATGCTCTTCTCTTGCACATTTAGCAAACTTCCACCAGGGGGAAGGTTGATATTTGTGCTTTTTGTAAAGCATTTGGTACCATCTGGGCTGGCTGGATTTCAACAAAGATAGTAAAGAAACATTTATCAAGAAAAATCAAAGTTAGTCTCGCCAAGCGTGGTCTGGAGAGATTTGCTTCCTCGATACATATGCGGCTCTCTTGCTGCTGGGAAACATGACTCGACTTTGAAAAGCTTCAGGAGGGACATGACTTTGGATCTTAGCCTGCAGCTATTGTCAACTGCTCATGATAGAGAGATTTTAGTAGCCAAAGCTCTTGGAGATGTGGATGCCGATAGTTCCAGAAGCAATCATTTTATTCCTTTCTACAGAATTTTTTGATTCCTTTGGTAGAGGATCGACTCAAAAGGGCAGAAGCAGAAGAAAGGGCCACATGCATGAAGCAAGATGTGCAGTCATACTTCCATGAGGAGTGCTTTTAGGGGACAGGGAGCAGGAGTGGATGCCCAAGGAATGGCCACCCTGAAGCCATCAGCATTGAGATTGACAGCTGTGATGCCCCTGCCCCGCACTGTCCTGCAAAGTCCTCGACTTACAATAGAAGACTTTTCCCCCAGTGGTTGTCCTGCTGGTGTCAATAAGACAGGCAGGGCTTTTCCAGGGAGAAGGAAGGTGAGCTGCTTCTGCTTGCAGGTGTGCTGCCAATCAACCACACAGACGCATTGCTGGCACTTCAGAGCGTCTCAGACCATGTTGTTAGGCAGCTCACTATGTGATAGATGTGTCATTCCAAGATCCCAGGCTGGAAATGGGCACCTGTTATTTTCTTTGGAAAAATTGAGAAATAAGCGAAAGTAACAGTTGGAGATTGTATTCTATAGAGAAAGTGCATGGGTATCTTAAGAAATTACCATTCTGCAGGACAGCATTGCTTAAAGCATGCTCCATGGACCTATAGCATATGTGTCACTTATGGGAAGTTGTTAGAGAAGCAGATGAATAGATTTCACTGCACACTTACTAAGACAGAATCTATCTGAAAGGCATGGGGCCCAGGAAGAAGCCCTCTGGGTGATACTTATGCATGCTAAGATCTAAGAAGCACTGTTCTAGAAAGGTTCAAATGGAGAAGTCAAATGCCTTGTTCTCAAGGTGCAAAAACACACGTGGTTCCCTTGGATAGTAAAAATGGAAAATGTAGCAAAGAAAGGCATTGAATGTGAATAATTATAATGAAGTATTGGCAACATAGCTAGCTTTCCTTGTATTTTCAAGGTTACAGGTTCTGCACTAAATATCTCTTTTCATTACCCAGTTTTATTCTCCTATCGGTTCATTTTATTGATCAAGAAATTGAGGTTCAAATATCTTCAGTAACTGCTAGATAACAAGCAGGCCCTGTGTGTCTTACAGCTCTCTCCACAACACTATATGGCCTCACTCTGTCTCTTTAGAAATCAACTATACTTTTAGCAAATCTGGTTTTTATATATTCCTTGGGCACAGAATCAATATCTTATGTTATCCCCTGCATGTCAGTGCAGAGTAAGCTACACCTTGCATGCTGATAACCCTCTCTGCTCTTTTTTCGTCTCGTCTATTCAGTTCCATTTCCGTACTAGCTGTATAATTTTCGGCAAATCAGTCTTATTTCATGTTCTGCCATGGTCAGTGGCTTGGGTGTAGGAAAATAAAGGACAGATATTTGAATGAAATGAGGACTGAGGTTTTTATCAGACACATAAAATGGAAAGAAAGAAGGGCAAGGGGGTTGAGAGTGTTTTCATGGGAATGATTGTAATGCATTGTGAAATTCGAGCTATGGGTGAGCAGAGTAGAGACAGAAAGAACGGGGAAATAGAGAGGATATATTTGGTCCAATGGGAAAAATTGCTGCTGTGGGGTAAGAGTGTGGAAGAGCTAGAAAAACTAGGAGGTTGTGTAAGACGGTGGGGTACGTGGAACTGATATGGAGATGGTGTTGTGATTTCTGGGGTAGTAAATTCCAGGGTGTGACCATGAGAGGGGTGCAAGCCAAAGGTGGTAGGAAGTGAGAGAGAGGGTGTCTCGCCTCCTTCATCCTAGTATTCTTTCTTCTAATCTGTTTTTCTCATCATCTTGAATTTATGGGGCTCCTGCTTGGTTTGGAGACATGTTGAATAATGGCTGTGGTAATGGGTATCCTTGTCTGATTCCTGACTCTAATAGGATTGCATTTATCATGAGCAGTGGTGCTGTTATTTCAGATAGTCTCTGTCCTCTTAAGAAAATTCCCTGATATTTTAGATGACAACTATCACTGTGTCTTTATGGATTTACCTGTGCTGGTCATTTCATATGAATGGAATCATGCAATATGTGACCTTTTAGGTATGTGTGTGTGAATGTTCACCGTGGCACTATTCAAAGCTGGTGGAAACAAGCTTAGAACACGGACAGTTAATCTTGGGAGTGAGGTGGAAGGTGCAGTGTGAAAGTCAGAAATAGATCTTTCACCAATATGGAACAGGTTGTTGGCTTATCTCATTTCGTATGCTTCTTCGCTATTGTTAATTAAATTAAAATTCCCGTTAATCCAGTCTGGTGCCGACGGCGGCCATCCCACCGTTTCTCCTGCCATCACTAGATGCTGCTATAACGTGCACTATTCATCCTGAAACTTCCTTTTCTCTTGCAGTAAGAGATGCTAAAAACCTTGTACCTATGGACCCCAATGGCTTGTCAGACCCCTACGTAAAACTGAAACTGATTCCTGATCCCAAAAGCGAGAGCAAGCAGAAGACCAAAACTATCAAGTGCTCCCTCAACCCCGAGTGGAACGAGACATTCAGATTGTAAGTTGCAGCAAAGCGTGGGTGGTGGAGGCTGGGTTACGGGCCCCCGGAGATCGGGGAATTCCTCTCTTACTTTCTGTTTCCTCCCTTCCCCCCTCCCCCCTTCCTTCCCTCCCTTCTCTTCCATCTGCATGTTTGTATTGTGAAGCAAGGGAACAGTAGAGCCTGTTCTTACAGTAGAGTGGAGGATGCCTGTGGTGTGGGCGGGAGATGGTGTCATGTGTTGCAAGGTGAAGGCAAGCTGTGAGAGAAGCCGCAGGTCTCGGCCAACAGCGGACATAACCCGCAGGGTGTGGCAGCATCCTCTCCAGGGCTGAGTTTATGGACGATGCTCTGCCTGTTGCCTGCTGGGAAAGGCCCTGCCAGCTTCCCTTGGGAGTCTTCCCCAGCCAGGGCTCCAAGGATCTGGGGAGCCCTTGGGCCAACAGGCATCGAATATAACAGCCAGCATTTATTGAACATATACTATGTGTAATAACTCCATTGCCTGGTTTCATTCCTGTTTTACCAATGGAGCTTAGAGGGCACAAAGAATCTGCCCTAAGTCCCATAGCAAATGTAAGGTGGAGTGTATTCAGCTCCAGCTGTTGTGGCTTCAGAGGCTACACTTCCAGCCACAGGTGCAAAGCATGGTTTCTCTTCCCTCCCTCGGGGTAAACCTGGGGACTTAGCCTTCGTCAAGGCCATGCCTCAGCACGATTTCCCCAGAGAGACAACGAATTTCCTCATCCTCTTCCTCACTCCCATACACACGTGGGCCCAGCCCGTTACATAACTGCTGTCTGTACTTCTCACAGTGATTGTCAGTACGATTGACCGCACACCATGCACCCTGTTAAGACATGAGACAGCAGACGTGTGCAGTTACAACTGTCCCTGTCGGACTTGGCTCAGGGCTTCTGCCTGTTGAAAGCCACAGACTGCCAAGCAAGGGAAAGCTCTCCCTCCCTAGGGAGATGGCCTGGGATGGGAACGGGAGATATTTCTTGCAGCCACTTGTAATCTTTAAAAATTCCTACCTCCAGGTCTTGTCCTCTTGTGTGCTTTTCATCTGGGTGCAGAATCTTTGCAACCTCTGCCAACTTCTTTTTTTCTTTGCAGTCAGCTGAAAGAATCGGACAAAGACAGAAGACTGTCAGTAGAGATATGGGACTGGGATCTGACCAGCAGGAATGACTTCATGGGGTCTTTGTCCTTTGGGATTTCTGAGCTGCAGAAAGCAGGTGTTGATGGCTGGTAAGAAATATTTTGCTGCAGAAATTATGCTACAGCTTGCTCCTTCAAACATGTGAATGAATACGTTGTCCTTTGCCCCGTAAAAGGAAATGTGAAAGCGAAGTCTCCAAGTAGGTTGGACCTGCCCCACAGATGTGCCTATTTGGTCCTCATGCTTTTAAAAGAATGCATTAAAAAGGGCAATTAGATGCCAGTCCTTTAAAAATCTGGGGTTTCCAGTGGAAAGAAGTGGCCATCAAAGGAGGAGGTACTTTTCTCTAAAGGGAGGTGAGAACTTCCACTTTGCTAATGGCCTTGTCTAAATACTGACGGAGTTTGTGGACTCAAAAAGCTCCCATAGCCTAGGCAGCTCATGTCAAGAGCCCTGGGTGGTCACTGACGTCATACATAAGAGTGTTAATTGTTAAATTAACAACAGGAGTCACTGTGCACTAACTCCCCATGCAGGACCTCTGTCCTCAATGAGTTGTATTATGAGATTTAACTGTAAAACTAGTTCTCAAACAGTTTTGTGTGTGTGTGTGTGTGTGTGTATGCAAGCAAATTGTTGAAATCTTGACTTAGTATAGAGTTGGTCTTATGTGTACAGAGTTAATTGAAAATGAATCTTAATGGAGAATGGGACTGGGAAGGGAGGGAGGAGGTGGAGGGGTGAGGGTGTGGGTGGGAGGAATCACTATATTCCTAAAGATATACTTATGAATTTGTATTCTTTAAAAAATAAATAAAAAAAATCTGGGGTTCACAGGCCATGATTAAAACCAATTGGATAGTCAACTCCCCCTTAAACAGAACTTGCTTTTCTATTGCGAAGTCCTCAGCACTCCCTATTTTACTGCACCTGCCCCACTTTATACCATTGTGTGACTTGACTCGTAGGACTTGTAAGAGCAATGCACCGTCAGGTTCAGGTTCATAGAGATGATGAAGCAGCTTCATGAAGTCCTTATGGAGCCTGGCCCCAGACAGCCTGGGCGGTGGCAGTCACAGTCAGTTGCCATGTCTCCTTTGTTCTGGAATTTTTGCTCCACTCTCCTTATAGAAAACAAAAATGGTTACCATCTGATAATATCAACAGAGGGGCTGGGAAAGCCCCTTGGTGGTGATTTCACAGTTTGAGTAAAGGAGTCAGAACAGGTGTTCCTGCCTGGCCCCATGGCTGCCCAAAGTGGCGATGGGGGCTCCCATTATTTCTCCAAGATACAGTCTGCCACTTCTGAATGGTCTCGCTTGGGGTTGGTTCAGTTCCAAGTGAAAGAAAATAAAAATTAAACTTGGTTTGGTAAGAAAGAGGTTGTAGCGCCTGGACCACACCTCCTTTCCATTGTGCACCTTGACCTGTCTTGGCTCTTTATTTATCCTAAGCTTTTATGCTGATCTCTGAAGAGGTGTCCTGCCTCCTAACGTACCCGCTAGAGCTGCAGCAAGATGTAAGACAGGCATGCCCTGCTGGAGCTTAGCTTGTGGTAGATAAGGGGAGGTGGAGATAAACCTGCAGTAAGAAATCACACAGATAACAAATCGATGATGACCTGGTCAGAGACGGGAAAAGGACAGGAGCTCAATGTATATCCCCCCAAAAGGTTTTCAATCAAGCACGATTCACAAATGTCAAACACACAGTTCTCACAAGATAGGTAGTGAGTGAGCATGTGTTCAGGTTTTCCTTAGCGCACTCACGAAGCAGCCAGCAGGGTGAGTGGCGATTCCATGGCAGGTTGGAGAAGCTTGTATTTGTATAAGCAGAAGAAAAAAGCAATGCTGAAAGAACTTTGCAGAGTGAAATAGAAAACTGGTGGCTGAACAGATCAATAGAAGCCCAGCCTTTGGGCTATCTTATCTACCAGGAAACACACAATGATCTCACTTTCATTTTCTAAAAGTTAACATCTATCTGCAGCCTGGGGGGCCATCTGGATGCGACTTGAGTGTGAATAATAAGTTAAACAAAGTGATATGACTGTGAGGAAGGAGATACCTAATTAGAAAATGCAATCGTAGGACATTAAAAGGTCACACAGTTGTCTTCCCCCAAGTTTTGGGTGTTTTTTCCTAACGTATGGATGATGTGACTGTGCATGGCCCCGCCTTCATTCCCACACAGATTGGTTTGGTGTCTCTTCCCCTTTAAATCAAGCTGAAGAGGTTAGGGAGAAGAAGGCCTGGTCTGCAGGGGGTACCAGCAAGACAGGAGAGGGCATAATAGTAATAATTATAATAACGATAGCTACCACTTATTGACTCTTATTAGATGCCGAGGGCTGGGCTGAACACTCCACAGCACCGATCAGATGTACAAAAACAATACTGTTTATCTTCTATGGTAGACTTAGATTTTCTCCTATAGTTTTGGGGCTTTGTGGTGGCTGAGAGGGGTCCCTTTTCTGGCCTCACGGCTACCGTGTAGCCATTTCTGCCTCATCCCTGAGCCAGGGCCTACTGAGGCAGGACTGGTCCCACCTAGCTTTGGAGCATCAACCATGCTGGCTTCATGCTGGAGACCCAGGACCTAGCCTGTTGCCTCTCCTTGTGAAGTCTTTCCACACAGTGTCCCCTTTACCCCCCACCCCAGGCCACTGCTATGATGCCAAGAACCTAAGTATATACCATCAGTTTCTATGTCTGTGAGTTCTACATTTGCAAATTCAACCAATTACAGAACTGAAATATTTGAGAAAAGTGGTGTCTGGATTGAACAAGTACAGACCTATTTTTCTTACCATTATTCTGCAAACAATAGAGTGTAACAGCTATTTACATAGCATTTGCATGGTGTTAGGTAGTTGTAAAAATGATTGAAAGTATATGTGAGAATTTGCATAGCTTATATGCAAGTACTATGGCATTTTATAGAAGGGACTTGAGCATCTATAGATTAGTTATTTGCAAGGATTTCTGAAGTCCATCCCCCATAGATAACATACCTATCTCATTCTGCCTCCAGACATGGGGGTGGGCAGAGGCTAGAGAGTCCACATGTAGGGTTGACCTTGGATGGATGCTTTGTGACCTAGGTAAGTTGCTTCACCTCTATGCTACAGCCTTCTCAGCAGGTATTATGCTGATCCTCAGCCTGATTATGGCCTCTCTACCCACCACTTAGAAGAGTTGTGATGTTGGTAGAATAATAGTTGAGAAGAATTTATGCAAAATAAAAGCCCCTCACCAGATTTTACAGATAAAGTCCTTTTAAGATTTAGGACCAAGACAGACACAAAACTGGGCTGGCTCTAAATGTACTAAATTTGGATTCTTGTCCCAGGGATTCTTGCCCCAGCGTGTGATCTGGGGTAAGTCACACACCCTCTGCTGCGATTTGGATGTTAGTTTGGGTGTCCCCTAAGGACCTATGTGTTAAAGACCTGGTTGTCAGTGGTTAATGGAGTCATGACAGTGGTGAATGGATTAAGGTGTGGACTTGATCCAATTGTGGTGTCTGAAACCAGAGCCTTGGGAAGTGATTGGGATTGGGTCACTAAGAGTGCAGCCCTCATGATGGAATCATGGTGATGTAGGTGACCAGTGCACTCCCTATCTCTGCTTTCTGCTCGTGATGGATAGCTGTTCCACACCCTCTCTGCTGTCACCACCTCCTGGTCATTGTGGGTGGGGCCCACCTGATCTTGGACTGAGAACCTACAAAATCACGAGCCAAAAATGAAGCTTCTTCCTTCATACGCGGTTTCTGTTAGGAATGAGGTTGTGACAGTAAAAAGCTGACAAGACACCCTCTTTGAGACTCAGTTTCCCCCCAGAGATGGGGATGGCTCCCCGTGCTGATCTGCTGTGCTGTAATTTAAGACCATGTGGCAGGACACGCAGGAGCAGCTGTGAGGGCTCCCGGATGTGTTGCGCCAGCCCCAGGCTCCTCGTCTGCCTCACTGCCGCCAGCTCTGTGTCTGCTGTGGAACCCTCCCCTCTGTTTCTAATTCTGTGTATTTATGCTGTCTCCTTTCTTTCCTCTTCATTTTTGCAGAGGTTCAACTGTTTTATTTATTTGTTTTTCTCTAAAGAATTAGCTCTGGGATTTGCATATCAATCCTGTGTCTGTTTCTCCTGTTCTGTAGGCTTATTTGGTGGTTGCCTTTGGATTTTGGACAAATGTTTTGCTATTTTATTTTTCTTCTTTAAACTTACTCTGCTCTTTAAAAATAACGAGCAAACTTGAAGGACTAGAACCTGCCCCTCAGTCTTGATGTGTCATGTTCTGGTCCACAGTTGTGTTTTTAATTTCTTTTCTAATGTGCTATTATTTAGACATGCTTTTTAACCTCCAGAATTAGCTTTTTGTTTAAATTTTTATTATTAATATTAAAATAAAGGTTTAGTATTTCATAATCAGAGAAAATGGCCTATACCTTTTTTGTCTCTTTCTCTTCTCTTTTTATTTTCTTTCCTTTTTTCTTCTTTCTTTTCTTCCTTCAACTTGGCTTAGCATATGTTCAATGTTGATAAATGTTCTATGGACATTTCAATAAAAATGATTCTACTTTAAGTCTCTCTCAAATTAAAAAAAGTTTATAAACGGGCAGCTGTTTGCTCCGTTGGTTAAGATGCTAGTTGGGATGCACCTGTTCCACATCAGAGTACCAGGGTTTGAGTCCTGGCTCTGCTTCGGGTTCCATTTTCCTCCTAATGTGAACCCTGGCAGGCAGCAGGTGATAGTTCAAGTAGTTGGGTCGGGGTCACCTACATGGGAGACTCAGATGGAGTTCCTGGCTCCCAGGTTTGGCCTGGCCCAGCAGTGGCCACTGTGGGCATTTGGGGATTGAGCCAGTGGATGGGAGTGCTCCCTGTCTTTGCCTATCTGTTTCTTTGCATCTCAAATATAAAAAAATAATATTTGCTATTTTTAAGGTATGCATTTCTATGTTCCTATATATTCTACCTTATTGTTATGTACAGTTCTTTTATGCTTTTATATCTTATTTTGTAAAGATTTATTTGTTTATTTGAAAAGAAGTGTTACAGAGAAACAGGGAGAGACAGAGGGATCTTCTATCTACTATTTGACTCTTCAAATGACCACAACAGACAGGGCTGGGACAGGCAAAGCCAGGAGCCAGGAGCTTCACCCAGGTCTCCCACATGGGTGCAGGGCCCCAAGCACCTGGGCCATCCTCCACTGCCTTCCCAGGCTCCTTAGTAGGGAGCTGGATCGGTGGTGAAGCATCTGAGACTCAAGCCAGCACTTATATGGGATGCTGGCATCACAGGCGGCAGCTTTACCTGCCACGCCACAATGCTGGCCCTGTCTTTTTCTTAAGCTTGTAAGATTCTCCCAGTAACATTGTTTAAATTGTGTGGGTTTTTTTTTTTTATTTCTGATGGATTCTGCTTTATATGTACGTGGCAGTATTATGAGCCACGTATCTCTTCAAGCAGGATTATACGACATGAAGTTGTCTCTTGCGATCTTTCCTTGTATTTGTTCTTGCATCCTTTGGTTCTCTGCACACACACACCACAAGCACCTGCTGTACTGTGCAGACAGCAGTGAGCAAAGCAGACCAGAATCCTTGACCTCAGGGAGTTTTCTTTCCAATTGGGAAAAAATTAACAAAAGTTTTAGAATGAACAAAGATGGAAGGTTAAAACAGACTAATAAAGCCCATAGACAAAAGTCAATGAGCAATGAGGCTGGGGAGGGGCCTGGGTTTTCCAGACTGCTCAGGAAAGGATGATAGATAGGGAAGATTTGCAGGGAGCAAGACCGTGGGTGCTGTGGGTGTCTAGGGTGAGCTTGTCCTAGGCGGAGATGAGAGCCAGAGCGAAGCCCCTGAGGCAGGAGTGGGCCCGGCTGGAAGGATGGGGTGGGGTGGGGAGGGGGGAGTGCAGGGCTTGCGAGGACTTCGTCTTTTTTCATATAATTTTTTTCAAAGATTTTATTTTATTTATTTGAAAGACAGAGTTACACATTATTAAAGTGCTTGCCGACATATTCTACAGTGTTTAAGATCAATTTGCATTCTTATCAATGCTGTGTGAGACTTTTCATTTCACTCTCCCTTGTCAACATCTGATATTATAAATTTCAAAGAAAAGATTCAAGTATTGTGTGTATTTTTATTACTAATTATTCAGTATTTTGATTTGTATATTGCCATTTGTTTATATTTGTAAATACCTATGTCCTTTCTTTTGCTTTTTTCTTAATTGATTTATAAAGAACTTCTATATTAGAATAATATTTGCATGTCTTTGATGACATGTATGTTCCAATATTCTTCCTTTTTATATTGTATATTAATTTTGGTAATATACCTTTTTCTTAGTTGTATTTAAGGCATTCAGTTCAACTCTAATCTAAAATAATAATTATCAAGCCAACCACCAAAAGGTTTCTCAAGTTCATCTTCTAATTGTTACCTGAATTATCCATCCTGTGTCTAAAGGACTTTTAAATTCAGTGAATGTATTTTTCTTTTGAAAGTAATTTTTTCTAATCTCAGATTATTCTCTTTTCATAGATGTATTGACCGCTTGAAACCCATTGGCAATATGAATTAGATGTCTTCTAGAATTTTCCCTCTTCTGCTCTTTTTCATGGGAAAAGCTGTGTCCTCATATTTCCGTTTCTTAGCATGGCTGAATTTTTCACCCGTCCTGTTCTGTTCCTTTACTTGCCCGTCCTCATAGCAAGAAAGAGCAGCAGTAAACGACCATTGTCTCCGCTCTGATCTTTCAGCTCTAGATGAGGGGAGAGAGGAGTCTTGTGTGCTCTGCACATCTCGTCAGCCTTCCTGTCTCCTGTGTGTGTGGGAGAGGGTTCATCTGGAGACAGCTGCACAAAAGGCAGCTCCCTTGCTCCTGGGAGAGATCTCTGCCCCATGTTGGTTTTGTAGATCTCAAAGTTGGAAGGGGTCCCTGTTCCTCTCAACTTGTGGGCCCAGGGGTCCTGATTTGGAGGCAGTAGAGACACACCCTTGACTGATGTGTCCTGTGAGGTCACAGGGAACATTTGCTGGGACACCCTGTCCCTGCCCACTGCCGCCTGTGCTGGCATCCCGTGTTACCTCCTGAATAGGGGTGGGAATTGGAGTTCCTCATCTGCTCCCTGATGGTCTGACCTGAGTGGGGAGTTGGGTCTGTTCCCTTTGCTGATGGCAGCTGCTCAAACCCCCTTTACTTGGGTTCTTCCAGGTGTGAGACCCACATGAACTTGGATTGTACATAGTCGGGGCATACATGACGTAGGCTGCACTTTTGCCAGTGCTCCTTCAGTTCTTTAGATTACTGCAGAGAGAACGTCCCAGGGGGCTCTGATATATCCTTTTTTAAAAAATTTATTTGACAGGTAGAGTTATAGACAGTGAGAGAGAGAGACAGAGAGAAAGGTCTTCCTTCCGTTGGTTCACTCCCCAGATGGCCTCAATGGCTGGAGCTGCACTGATCTGAAGCCAGGAGCCAGGTGCTTCTTCCAGGTCTCCCATGCAGGTGCAGGGGCCCAAGCACTTGGGCCATCTTCTACTGCCCTCCTGGGCCACAGCAGAGAGCTGGACTGGAAGAGGAGCAACCAGGACTAGAACCCGGTGCCCATATGGGTTGCTGGTGCCGCAGGCGGAGGATTAACCAAGTGAGCTGTGGCGCCGGCTCATCCGATATATTCTTAAAACTCTTTAACGCTTACCCTTGCTTTCTGCTGCTCTCCTGTCTTAAAGGAGATGTGGGAGGGCGCCTTAGGCTGAGGGCTTTGGTAGCCATCATGACTTGGACCTGAATAGCATCAATTTGCATTTGCTTATTTTTTTTTTAATAATTGCTTCCTATTTTGTACAAATGAGGACACTGGCTTTCTTTTTAAGGAAGAGTGAAAATATCCTGTAAAAATGAATGTATTATTAAAACAAAACAGATGTTTTAATGAAAAGCATTGTTGGCATAACATACAGACTGAGCCCAATCCACAGAGGGGGCCTGTGAATAAGGCTTGCCAAACACTGCTTTGCCTTCTTTTACTATTCCTTGGATTTGTAGAGATTCCTGGAAGTCCCTACTTTGCGGATAGCACCCTTCTTGGTTTCCAGCAAAGATACAGATGTTGTCTCGTGTTTGCATCCCCGTTGGTGGAGTCAGTGGAGAGCTGGAAGAAGAGAAATGAATATTAAATGTGGAGGCGTGGGGGCTGAAACTGTCGCCTGTGCTTTGAATCACCTATCCCTCTGTTGGTGGAAGCCGTCCCAGATTTGTGAATGGAGATAAAAATGGACAAAAATTGTGCATTTCAGTTAGGGAGCATCTTTGGGAGTTAGGAGTTTTGGGGTCTTTTCTCCCCCGTGACTGACCCCAATGCCTTTGGAATGCCTTTGTACCTTCCTCAGTTTCAACCCATCCTGGGACCAGCTGGCAACATCTTTGTGGTCAAGAAGCTGAGTGTAGCCAGCGTGTTTGTGATAATGCCAGCGGTAATAGCAGTGATAATGCTGTTTATTGAACACTCGCTGAGTGCTAAACTCGTTGCTTATTATGTCACATGCATCATTTCATTTCGACTTTACAGCAATTATATAAGAAAGGGGTTTTTATTCCAATTTATAGATGTGAGCAACAGAGGCTCAAGAGCCCCACCGACTTGCAGAAGGTCATATAGCAAGTCAAGAACAGAGGCAAGATTTAGACGGAGGCTTAGTTTGAAGTCCATGGTCATCCAAATGCATTTGGGCACCAGGATGGCAGGCTAGCAACGAGAGTGCAGTGAAAGGTGGTGACAGTGTTGGGAGAACTGTGCAGTGTTGGGAGAACTGGATAGGAACACATTGACAGTGGGGGATCTTGGCACCCTTCTCTTGGCACAGGAAAGCACTTCCTGGAGAAAAAAAAGAGCTTACAAACTATAGAGTAATTGAATGATGTCAATGATGTCATGAAGAAGACTTTATGGAGAGAGAGAGAGAGAGAGAGAGAGAGAGAGAGCGCCACATCCTATAAACACAGAATATGCATTTTTTCTGATGTCCATGGAATCATTACAAAAGTATGCAGTGTGCTTGGCTACACACACACACACACACACACACACTCCAAAAAACAAAACATAAAATGAAACCAAAAATCCTCAGTGCATTTCTTTTCAAAATAAAGCTTTTAATAGGCTTCTTTTGCAGCAGAACGATGTCAAGTTGAGAGTTGTAGAAAGTATGCTGACCCCTTGTCTCCCTTTAAGGTTTAAGTTGCTGAGCCAGGAGGAAGGCGAGTACTTCAACGTGCCTGTGCCGCCAGAGGGGAGTGAGGGCAATGAAGAACTGCGGCAGAAATTTGAGGTGAGGTTGCTTTCTGCTTGTCTACATCCATGGGGACCAGGTAGGGTCACACTGCACTGTGTCTCCTGCTTACGTTGTGTCTTCTACGAGGGTCCGTCATGACTCTGAACCTTGGCAAGGCTGTTCCATCTCCTAGCAGGCTCCTACACACACTTCAAGACTCCAAGGAAGAGTCCCCCGTCTTATGAAGTCATACTTCTCTCTCCTCTCTTGTTTAGATTCACGTCTCCTCAAAAGCACTCATTCCCTGCCCAGGTCTTTGTGACAGTGACTTGGAAGAAATGGTAGAAACAGCAACTGAAAGAAGCAGATAGTGTCTATGTTTCAGGGTCAAGGCAACCAGGCCTGCTGCCAGGTGGAAGGAGCTAGTGTTTGCGTCTATTGGCAGGAGGGTGCTGGACTGTGGATAAAGAGAAGTGATCGTCCTAGTGCCTCCATGAAGTCCCACGGGTGGATCCTCCCTCTAACATGTCTCTCAAAGAGACTGACCTTGGCTCTGACCTTGGGCTATGCTGCTGGGTCGGCTCTCACCTCAGAGAAGCTCCTTCCCTTCTCTGGGGACAAATATACTCTCTGTTAGGCCATATGGGAACACCATGTGTGCAAGACACAGCTCACTTGTACAGAGGAAATGGTTTGGGGGAAATGGGACTGAGGGAATACATTCTATGAGTGTTGAGTGACTTTAAAGTAGTTCCATGAGGGTGAACACATTATTTTGTTCACAAAAGCTCAACATACTGAATCTGGTAGGGGATCATTAATTCTAGATAAGCAGCGATGGCCTACTAACCCTGAAAAATGCATAAAGTAGTATAGCTAAAATGAAATGGATTTTTCTTATTACTCACTAAATATTTGCATAAGAAAAAATTTTGACTATGACCAAAAATGAGTTTCGGCTATTTGGAGGACATGTTTGAGAACTCTGAGAAGGTAGAGAAGGTGCCGTGGGAGGAATGGCAATGGAAGTTAACCAACCAAGGAAACGGGGACAAAGAGCACTGTGTTCTGAGAACAGCATGTGCAAAGGCCCTATGGTCAGGAGTTACACAGTGGCCATATGAGATGGAATGTCCGTGTGAGTACAGCAGAGAGAGATCCAAGGGGTGAGTCCAAGGTGAGAGGGAGTGGGTGGGGTCAGGGAGGCAGAGCAAGGGTTTTGACGTGTGGCCCAAGAGCCACGTTGGTGTGCCCCTCAGCTTCACAGGTAGTGTCCCCAGTTCCCTTGTCTTGAGTCTGTGTCCTCTGTGCTGCCTGGACAAGGGTGAAGACTGACCCACTGGGCTGCCCCTGGAAACAAGTGCAATAGGCACATTGACCTTGGGCTTACGAGTCAGGCTCCAGTGACCTTGACAAGCGAAGGTCGTTCCATGACAGGCCGCTCCAGCCCAGGGGAACTGATAAAAAGGACCTTCCCGCCCAGTAAGGTGAGAACTGGTTGCTGGTTAACAGAAATGAACGAGTGCAGACAGCCCTCTTCTCTGGGAAGGCTCTCCGTGCCTCTCCCTCTGCTTTCTGATAAAGTGGTGTCTGTTTGCTATGTGTTGAAAATGTACCATTGTGGATTTAAAACAAAAAGAAAAACACACACACAAAAGCAAAGCCACAGCCAGTCTTATTTGGTATAAAATGAAGGCTCAGTTTTTCGCAAAATGATTTCTTCTGTCCTGGGGCAGCTGGGGTGATATTTCTGAACACCCAGGAAAATGTTTCCTCCGTGAGCAGAGCATTTGCCGGGGCCGGTAATTGGCTTGGAGTAAAGTGTGGTTTTTATCTGCATGCAGCAAAATGCATCCTTTTCTTTCCAGCAAGAGCCTGCAAATGCTTGTTTATGCCTGAATTATAATCACTCCGTACCGTCGTTGTTGATTGAAAAAAAAAATGTTTCCAACAGACCGAAAATTGTTCTCAGACACACCGAGGAGTTTCGGTTGACCTTGAACGTGAGAAATGTAATCCCTGTGCAATAACCAATTAGCTCTGGGAGTGACTCAGAAATGACTTGCAAGCCTCTTATCTGGAGAATTCTGAGTGACAGTAAACTCGAGCTGCTGGAATGGGGGTGATGGTTTCAAGGTGGGGTGAGCTTGGTGCAGGTGGCGCAGGTGGTGTACTTTGGGATGCCAGAGTTGGCTCCATTCGGGGGGCTTTCAGTCCAATGGTGGGCTTGCCAGTGGGCCAGGGAAGGGAATGCTTTGATTAGATGACTACGGGTGGATTTCCTGACAGTCTTAGAATGTATTTATTTAACAAAGTCCTCACTATGAGCATTTGTTATTCTAAGCACTTACCACATATTAACTCATAACAGCCCAGAATGGAAGATTCTATCATGCACTCCCAATTTTCTTTTTGTGTTGAATTTTTAAGTTTATTTATTTTTATTTGAAAGGCAGAGTGGCAGAGAGAGAGAGAGAGATCTTCCATCTACTGGCCCACTCTCCAGATCTTCCATCTATCTTCCATCTCCAGGCCCAGATGCTGGCAACATCTGGGCCTGGCCCAGGGTGAATCAGGAGCCTGGCATTCCTTCCAGGTCTCTGATGTGGGTGGCAGAGGCCCAAGTATGTGAGCCATCACCTGCTGCCTCCAGGGTGTGCCTAGGCAGGAAGCTGGATCAATAGCAGGGGCGGAACCCAAAACCAGGCAGTCCAAAAGAGGATGCAGGCATCCCAACCTGCTGCACCAGAACACCTGCCCCACTCCCATCTTCCTTTCCAGATGAGGAAACTGAGGCCAGGAGAAGTGAAGTGTCTGTGCAAGGCCTGGGAGCTGCTCATTGTCCTGGGACCAGACCGCCGGGCTTCAAGTGCAAATGGCTTCTGTAGGAGGCGGTCCCTGGAAGCAGCCTAGGGTAGTGGGGAAGGGAGGTGAAAGAAGGAAGAAAGGCAGCCAGGAAGCAGGTGCATTCGGGTCGGCCAGTGCACCCACTGGTTCTGCCGCCATGGACTCGAGCACCTGTGGGTTGGAAATATTTGAAAACCAAAAACTGTATCTGTATTAACCATGCACAGATCTGCCTTGGCACTCCCTGAACAACACAGCACAACAACCATCTATAAAGCAGTTACATTGTGAATCATACAGAGGTAACTTATATACATGGAGGACCGCCTAGTATACCATTTTATATAAGTGATACAAACATCTGAGGATTGTAGTGTCTTGGGCGGATATCCAAGGACGACAGTATTTTCGACTTGCTGTGGGAAGCTGGGGTTGAACCCTATGGAGAGCTCTAGACCCTGCACTGAATGCAGACCTAAGTCTCCCAACCAAAGGACAGAAAGCTGTCCACCAGCTCCCCTTCCATGGCTGGGTGAGGGCTGCTTCCAAGGGGAAACCTTTGCTTCCCATCGCCAGCCCTGAGACAGAAAGTCACGGGTGTTTGCGGTAAGCAGCCCCAGGTGTAGAGAGGAGAGTGCCAGGAGGTCCTGGCAGGACACCAGTGGCCACATCTGTGCAGTGACACATGCAGATTGCCTGGACTTGAATCCCAGTTCTGTTCTGCCGCCTGCTTGCCAGGGGGACTACAAGTTAGTTCATCTCTCAGCTTTTGATTCTCCCCCTGTAAAACAGAGAATGACCACACTGCTCACCTCGTCCGGTTTATGAGACTTGGATGAGGTAGTGCATTGAGAAGCATGTGGCATTGTGACGTCAGGTGCTAGTGTCGCTGCTGTTGTTGTTATCAACTCCCTGCTTGGGATAAACGAAGCTTCTGGGCTTCGGATGGAGCTGCTGGAGGGCTGGGAAGGACCTCCAGGGACTCCTCACCTGCTCGGCTCCAGGGCAGCTGGGCATGTGTGTAGGGGTGGCGGAGTCTGTAAAGTAAGCCAGGACAGGCATCAATCATCAAAGTGGAGACTGTGGGCTGGCTGCTGAGGGGTCACTGTCCCCTTGGGTATCCTGGAAAGTGCTGTTTGCTTTCTCTTTGAGCGCCGAGTTCTGGGGCTCTAAATTGCAAACATGAAAGGCGACCATTAGTGTATTCCTATTTCTGCAGGCATATCCTGCCCAGCAAGAGAAAGGACAATTTTAATTTGGGCCTCCACTTTGCAGGCTTGCTCTTTGATGGAGTCCCAGCTGGGTCCGAGGCTCCTTGGCGCCGTGGGGTGTTGGAAAGGACACATGACGGGGTGCTTGTCCTCCAAAGGCTCACTGGGATTGGAGGTCACAGAGCCACAGCCTTCAGGAGACAGGCAGATAACAATACGGGGAAGAGCTAGTCCCACCCAGTGTGGCTGCATCCATTTCTTCAAAGGAAGCCAAGCATTTGGGTTTCTATAAGGCGTCTCCTGATTTCCTGTAGGTGGCAATTAATTGAAATGTTAAAGTAACAACAAACACTACGCAGACCAGATCAGTAGCATTTTCAGGCTTCTGGCCTGGATTCTAGAAGTTGAGAGGATATTCCCATGACAAGAGGCACAGAAGCAAACTGGGATGGCCCTGAACTCAGAGGAAGGACTCAAAGGGCAGGCCGTTGGCTACTTGCTGCTCCCTGAAAGATAGAAAGCAAACAAATAAACAAAGAAACCCAGACCCCTTCCAAAATTCCCTTTCTCTCCAGTGTGTCTAAGCAAAGTCAAATGAAGAAACTGGACAGTGTGAACTCCATGCCTACTTCACTGGGCTTGTGCACTGGGACCCACAAGGGCATGGGCCAGCAAAGCTTGTGAGCTGGAATGGGAACTGGGGATCAGGGACAGGACTTGGAAACTTCACAGGTCGGAATGTGTGAATCTGAAGGGTCTTGAGTGAGGATTCAAAGAAGGTGGGAGACGTCGTCATAGAGTGATGAGGTGGTGGGGTGGGGAGGGTAGGAGGGACCGTGTTTGGGTCAGGCTAGAGTGAGCAAGGCTCTGCGGCTGGATGGGGAGAGGACTGGGGAGCCCAAGAAAGGCAATGCAACTGGTGCCCCAGGTTCTTTCATAGTGCAGTCTCCATTGCAAATAAGATGACCTCTAATCTCTGCCTCCATTGCAGGCATCTCT